TTTCCAGCCAGTTTCTCTGTCATCTATAATTTGAATAATGGGCTTCAATGGTATTTGTTACTTGTTGGAAATCAGTGTTATTAACTTTGGGTGAGACAGGGAGTTCTTACTAAGAATGAGATTGTATGTTTCTTTGTCATAGGGGAATTAAGACCCAAAACTATCCACCAGCTTCAATACATCCCACGTTGTAATTGTGACTGATTAGGTCCTAACAGGGAAAGCGACAGGCATAGAACTGGAGAAAGGAAAGATGTCTAACATCACACAGAATCGTGATGAGACTTTTGCTATGAAGTGCTTAAAATCACTACAGCTAATCCTCAAACAATGAGAAATATGGAGTCAGTGAGGATATCAGAAAGATTCCAGCAAAGTGCTGCTGCCACACTGAGATTCAAGATGGGAAATGACGGCTTAGTCTGTGATGCAGTAGACTTCCTCTGCCGTCAGAGCAGAAGTGAAGAAAGGCAGCTGTGTGAGATCACCATAGCCCGGATCTTTCTGCCTCTACAAGATTAAGAGAGCACATTCCACAACAGATGTCTCCAAGAATTCAACTCAGCATTCATGGCAATTTTAAAGTGGACCAGCTACAATTAAATAAGCGTCTGGTGTCCAGCGTAGACTCACTGTAATGAGAAGGTCAAAGCCCTGTTTCTGACATCAGAATTTCTCCTTGTGACAGTATCTGTCCCTCCCAGGAGGGGACAGGGGCTTCAGTCGCAGGATAACTGTACCCAACAGAGTAAAATAGCAAGTGTCAAGTCCTATGACTCTTGCCAGAGACAAAACAGAGAGGAGTGGATTTGATTTCTTGACATCTCTACCTGTGATGCCCTCCCCACAAAGAGGCTGAACTGTGCATTTGTGGTAAGGGAGACAGAGACGCCAGCCATGGTAATGTAACACTGTGTTCCCTGTACCCATGGAACTTACCTAAATCTACCTCCTAAATCTACTTTTATTTGGGGCTAAGCATATATGTAGCTCCCTCACTAGGATGAAAGACTGCCAAAGGGACTCGGTAAGCTAGTGGGTGTCACCTGTCCCATGGGAGTACCTGAGCTCAAATGTTTGCCATGGATATATGGATATTGGTGACGTTGATGGTGAGGTATATGAACAGGCTAGATAATTACCGGAAATTAGGTATTTAAGAGCAACCAGGTTTCTATTAAAACTGTCCATTTGATCCTTCATCAGGGTTAATGTGAGTGAGATCCCTATTGTGCAGAGAAAAGAAACTAAAAAATACATGCACAAAGTCATTCACTGTGTAAATGTGTTAATGTAGACATTTGTTTAGAAAATACAGCAAGTCCGAGATAAGACTCACTAGGCGAGCACTTGCCTATCATGCATAAGGCCATGAGGCCCAGGGTTCAATCCTTTTTGTAGCAGAAATAAAACCCCTACACACAGGCACATGAAAACACAGGGCCAAATTAAATCATCCGTGTTTAAACAAGTCAAAATTACAAATGCATCTTTGCCTTCCCAAATACTTTTGTGGCTGGCATCCAGAGCAGTTATGTGTGGAGTTTCTCAGAGTTATTTTTTTCCACTACCCCAATACGCTTTGTGATAATCTATGAGTTTGTTACCTGGTGTTCCGCACAGCTTTCTTTTCATGACGCAACCATGGGGCTATCGGTGTGGAATCAGACACGTTTCTAATGTGGGTCTCTTCTGTTAAAGAGCTCTTACTGCTGAAGAGCTCTAATTCTGTGTGATTCCATGGAGCACGGTTCTGAATCCCAGCTTCCCACACGGCAGAGCGGAGGTCCCTACCCTAGCAGCAAAGTCAGGGATACACACCTTATTGTGTACACCTTTAACCTCATCACTCTGGAGGCAGATGCAAGTGGATCTTTGTGAGTTCCAGGCCAGCCTGGTCTATAGAGTGTGTCCCAAACCAGCTAGGGTTGCTTAGTAGACCAAATCTTTAACTGGGTGTATGCTGCATGTCTTTTAATCCCAGCACGCAGGTACCAGAGGCAGGTGGACTGCTGTGAGTTCGAGGCCAGCCTGATACATAGAGAGAGTTCTAGGACAATTCTAGGTGCATGAAAAGATTCCATCTCAAATATAACCAAAATAAACAACAACAAAAAGAACAAAGCAAAACATTTTAATAGGCTTATGTGAAGTTCTTCCAGACAGTGAATAAACAAGCCCTTGGAAGATACA